CTTCTTCTATATATATATATATATATATCACCATCACCAATTTCCAGGTTTAGTGAATTTTTCAAGCAAGGCAGGAGAAAGGAAACTGGATTTGGTATCACTGATCGAGTTAAAGGAATCTGTCGCATTGGGAAGAACAAGATAAAGCGAAAATTGGATTGTTGTACAAAGTAACGTTTGCTGATAAATTTTGGTTTTTAAAAGCATTTTCCAAAAAGAAACTGCGGATATTTTACTACGAATCTACTAGCTAAATAATTTTTTCATAATCTGGTAAACAATATTTGTCGTGGAACAATACTAGCAGAACTTTGGGTAGTGCAAAAATATCATAGCTGACTGTGACATTGGTTAGTTTTCATTTTGCAGAACAAAAGTATATAAGTAGCAAAAGAAATTTGTTGCTAATAGTTTAGGTACCAATATACCTGTTGCAGCTTTTGTACTGGCGGTTTCCTTTCGTCTTTCATTTCCGTTATTTTCTTTATGGTCAACGAAGGCGAGTTTCTTAAATTTTACACTTGTAAACATCAGCAGTATTCTACTGATTTATCTGTTGTGCTGTGGTAAGTGGTTGAAGTGCATTATCATAGTTTATGCTAAAAACGAAACTTCTCAGCATATTCCAGCACGATAGTATTCTACATTTCTGTTTAAAATGTAGTAGATTTGAGAATTAAGTTTCCTTCTATCCCCAAAAAGACCTTAAAAGATTCCCTTTTGACAAGTGACATGTGTTTCCTGAATTCAATGAGCAGTTTGAGTTGAATTTAAATTTGAATCATGCAGCAGTTATTACTGTAATGCAGAAAGTAATGTTAATAATTAAACCATAGGGAAGTTTAAAATTAGTTGGAGTTTTTATGTTAGTGTCATTTTTCTGTGGATTTTTATTTTTTCGATTTTACCACACACCCGTATAACTGGCAGTATGAGGGACTTTAAGAGAGCCTCAGTCTCATTTTATAAGGTTTTTTTTTCCTGCAAAATGTATACATTCTATGGCGAATAATTACTCTCTAAAGAATATTTAGATTTTTTTGGGATTCTGTCGTTGTTAGAAGAGTGAATGTTTGAGCTGCGATGATATATGAGAGTGTCATAATCAAGTGCATTTTGGAAAATTTTTAAGCTTGGTTTAAAAAGTGCAGACTTACTTATCCATTGCAGTTCTTTTGCTGTCGTATTTATAGTTCCGTATAGAAAATCAAAAAGTTCAACTTGCATTCCTCCATTGAAACAAAAGATCTTCTATACTTCCTGTTAGTACTGATTATAAGGTGGTTATATGTTCGGTTATAAATATCATGAAAGTATTCTTTCAGATGATATAGATAACATAGAGGCTTGCTTGTACATCTTCTGAACAACAAACTTTAACCTCGTAAGGGAGCGTGCGGCTCATTTTCAAAAACTTTCATCGTTATACTACTATAAGCGTTTAGCAGGAAGCATGATAGGGCTTGATAAGGGCAATTTTTTGAACTTTTTGCTAGAGGAAAAAATAAGTGTACTTTATCCACACACACACACACACACACACACACACACACACACACACACACACACACACACACACACACACACACACACACACCACA